TCTTAGTGTAAATAAGTTGCAACTTTACGAAGTTCTTCCCCCCGTATGTATCTTAGTGCCAATTTTGATCAAAAAATATATTAACAGATGAACCTTAAATACATGTTACATAGAGCGTTCTACGTATTCTACAATAACATTTTATATCATTTAAATATGTTTAATATGGGGTTCAAAATTAAACCAAATATCTATGACATCCATGTAACAGTTTTAAAATTTCTGAGTTTTAGAAAATTTTATCAGGTAAGCCTAATCAAACACTCTCCACTCCTTGGCATGCATTGTGATCACAAGTTCTATAAATAGTAACATCCCGTTTTTGCTTACCTGTAACACTCTGTTGGGGGTTGGCTACTTTGGAGGGGGCCTCAGAGGCCTGACTGTCTGACCGTGAAGTTTCCCTGTCTTTGGCCTCGAGTCTGTCCACCGATTTCTCGTCTCGGATAAACTTTCTCTTCTGTGTGGCCCTCTTAAGAACCCCCACTAGTGTGGCTACACTGAAGTGATGGTGGCACTCTGGTGGTCTATATATAAAATATTATTAATTTTTTCATTTAAATCCACTTTTTTTTAAAAACAAGGAATCTATTATATAGTAATTTTGTAAAAAACCCCTAAAAAAAATCGATTTGAGATTTTTTGAAAACTTGTCAATGTATATAAATAAATTTTAATCACTAATGTAACTTTCAATATATTTATATATGGAATAAATTTAAGGAATCACTGTCTTTTATTTCCAGGGCTCAATTTAAAAGGCTTTAATTTGCATAATATATTTATGCTTTTAATCATTTTTACTTTTGAAATATTTTGATCTGGAGTCTTATTTTCCATTTCACTGTGAAATAAAATTTAATTTCATTTAAAAATGGTTTATTACACGATTTCTTTCAAACCAGAGGCAAATTGATGGCAACAGAGCAAATGTTTAGGGTCAGACTCAGAGACAGATGTGCACGAAATTTGCATGCATATAAGGACTCTTTAGCTCCTGTCCGATTGACCTGCCTAATTTACATTCCGGTAGAATTATCAAGAAATTAACTCCACTAACTTTCAAAGAGTTATCACAGAGAGAAAAATTAGACATGGAAATATTTTTGGGTCATTGGTGTTCATTTTTATCCAGCAAGATTACACATTAAACTCACAATTCATCCTTGGCCAGCTGTGCTAGAGCTTTGAGTCGTGCTCCCAGCACGGTCGGTGCTCTGAATCCCATGGCAGCACACTTAGCCTTCAGAATGAGGCTGAAGTCGGGCTTGACAAGGGAGACCATTCTGAACAGAGACCTGACATCAATGGGCAGGTTACAGCCTGGAGGTGTGGCTTCCTTGTTGTACGTCATGTGGACAGCAAAGGTCTTCCTTATGGAAACCTAAGAAGTAAAATGTTATAAGATATTTGACATTACATCAAAATGTTTAATACATCAAGCATATAGTACATACAGTTGAAAATCAGTATTTTGAATATTGATACCCGAATTCCATTGATGTCCCAAAGTGATTCAAAAGTTCCAAACCATGCACATATTCTTCAAGAAGTTTACTCTCCACATCTTGAATCCTTGTATATATTTAATTTTTTTCTCAGTACCATTGAGTTTGAGCTAATGAAGTTTGTCTGTAGTTCTCAATTTTATATTTATCCAAAGAACTGGGTACAGTATGTATAACGAGGCGGCCCTGTAAAATCGGCAAAAATTAAACGCACGATAACATTTTTTGAACTGTGTCAATTTATTGTTAAGGTTCCCCTTTGTGAAAAATTGGTATCAATTTTCTTCAACTCACGTGACCTTTTGTGTATATAACGTTCAAAACCGGTCAAATATTCTGGAAATCACCTATTTTGGACGTTTTGCTCCTCTTCAAGTTCATATTTCGATGTGGCCGCAATCGAGTACATATGCGAACCTTTGCAGAAAGAACAAGTATACTTTGGTAACTAATATGCAAGAGAAAAAATAACTGTACAAAAGTGCGGCCACGTCCGTTTTTAAGAAAAACTGTAGTTGAAAATACTTCGTTTTTGGATAGATGTGACTTTTCCTCCTCATTAAAATCTATACTTTTAAAGAAATTAAATATTGAAGTCTGAATCTGAATGTGTTATGATCTAATCTATACTTTTACAGAAATTTATTGTTTAAATCTGTATCTGAATGTTATGAAAACTACATAAACTTTTCTTCGTAAAATTTATCAAGTGACATTGCATGGAAATCAATGACGCAATACTTTAAAAACATGACGTCACGAGCCGGCATATGTTGAATAACCAAATTCTTCAGTCTTCCATAATAAAATAATAATAAGATAAATTTTCAATCAATATATGCAGTGAAAAGCAGTCAAACGACATAGGTTTACATTTATACATGTACCTCTTATTAACTCTTTACAACTTACTGAACTGTTTTGCAACACACACTTAATGTTCACGTCATAGAAATAGAAATTTACCATTTCCCCACAAGAACCTTGTAGCGTGGTACACGTTTCTCTAAAGTTTAGCAGAAATAATATCATAACGTTATATTTTAATTCAAAAATAACTTTTCTTATTTTATGAGATTTTTACAAGTATAAAATAAAAGGAAATTGGCATTAAATTAAAAAATAATTGAAATTTTTAAAGTGCGTGAAAATGCGTGATTGCGGGGAAACGGTATATGCGTGATTTTGCGTTAGAAATAGGAAATGGTGTATGCGTTAAAACGCGTGACTGCGGGGAAGTGTGACCGGTCGGCAGGGGATGCTTACTTTTCCATTGCACTTGATCCCACCTCTGATTTGGAGGTCAGTTTTTACTCTGCTTCTGTTTTGTATTGTTATATGGATTTTTGGTCTCGTATGCTGTTCGTTATCTCCATATGTTTTATATACATGACTTCAGTTGTTATTTTGAAATTTTTGTTAAAAATTGTATCATCTGTCTTAAATTTCACTGGAAATTAATCTAGGAAAATTATACTAAAATAATCACAGACTTTTGTGCTTTAATATAAAAATAGTTTTCTCTTTTTCTTTCTCTTTTCAATATCAATGAAAATAAATTATCATTTGGATGATCACGCATTGGCTTGTATTTTGGATGACTTGTTTCATTAATGCCTTTGTTTTTGTACTAGATTTGACTACGGGTGTAACCGGAACTTATCCCACCTCCTGAATTTCCAGGTGCCCATGTTGGGTTTTTTTTTATTTTACTTTTTTACAAAGTTGTATTGTTTAGGGAATTTTTTTTAAAGATCGATCTCTGTTCTTTATCTTCACCTTTAACTTTACATTAATCACTTTTTTTTTCCTTTTGGGAACTTCTAACATGAATAAATCTTTATTGTGTAACTCGAGTTTATACGTGCATTAACTAAGATCATAATACAAAATTTTGATATAGAATATATATAAGAAATCTCTTTTATAGCAGGCAAAAACTATCAAATGCGCTCATGCTCTTTTTTCGGATGCGATATTGCTCATCGGCTATGTAAAATACACTTTACGTGTATATGAAAACTAATTATCAGTATTCATCTGGTCCCAGGATTGGTGGCTTCACACATGACGTCACTGCCCACAGCTTATCATGACCTTGACCCCTTGCCCACTCTTTGCCATCTCGAACGCCTCTAGAGTCTGTTCCAGTTTGTATCGGTGGGTAATGAGTGGCTTAACGTCAATCTTACCACAGGATAACATCTCAATCAGAGTGGGCCAACTACAAAAACAAAAACAAATCTTACTGCAAGCAAGTTACCCTTACGTATTTGAGCTTCCTTAAATTGTACCTCATATAACTGTTTACTCATTCAATGTATGCTGACAACAATATACTGGTAATCTCTTGCTACTGAAGATGGATTTTCTATGAAGGAAACAAACAGCAAGATGGCGACAAAAGACACTGGTGCGGAAGTCGATGAATGAGAATGGAAGAAATATAATTGGGAAGAGACAATCAAAAGGGAGATTAAAAGAAGGATAAGAGCGGGAAAAGGGGGGGTGTTACTGGAAGTCCTTACGGTGGGTTTAAATATTCAATGAGGGAAGACATTCAATGTCGCCGGCGAAAATTCGTGCAGCCGATGGCAATATAGTAATGCCCATAAACAACAAATTATTGGCTAAAAAAGGTACCGCCACAAACGAGCCTCTGAATTGCATGTCTACGTACCGAGTTAAACCCATCCATGACTTACGTGTTCACGTAGCGGAATGAACCTTTGATCTCGAGCTCCTTGGCAACGGTGGCGACAACCGGAAATGAAACGGAAGTCGGTCCGTGTCCTATTATAATGACTTGCCCTCCAGGCTTTGTAGCCTGGAAAAAAAAAATAAATTGAATTATTCTTTAAAAAAGAAATGTCCTTTAATGTCTGTGCCGCAATATATTTTTGACAATTTCTAAGTCATTTTTTGCCATTTGTAAACTTCTCAAGTACCAAAAAAAAAACTGTACATAAATGAATTCTAACAAAATGCTTCCCCTTGAAAGATTTAGTTGGATATCTCTTTGGAATTGTAGAATTTAGCAAATGTAAATGCGAAAGACTGTCTTGCAAACTTACGTGAACTGCAAGATTAACAGCAAATTGCGCTCCGCTACACTCAATGGTTCTGTCTGGCATCGCCCCATCAGATCCGCCACTTTCACGGCTACATCCTCCTCTTTATCCTCCCGCGTTATCAGGAGGGTGTGGGTGGCGCCACATTTCTTGGCGAAATAGGCGGGA